CCAGAATCGAAATTTTTCTCAGTGTATCTAAAACATTTTGTGGTGTACACGTGACATATAATTCGTTGCATTTGTCAACGAATCATTATCTCAAATTTTCCAGTTAGTATCGAAGTTTTTCTCAGTGTATCTAAAACATTTTGTAGTGTACACGTGACATATAATTCGTTGCATTTGTCAACGAATCATTATCTCAAATTTTCCAGTTAGTATCGAAGTTTTTCTCAGTGTATCTAAAACATTTTGTAGTGTACACGTGACATATAATTCGTTGCATTTGTCAACGAATCATTATCTCAAATTTTCCAGCTAGAATCGAAATTTTTCTCAGTGTATCTAAAACATTTTGTGATGTACACGTGATATATAATTCGTTGCATTTGTCAACGAATCATTATCTAAAATTTTCCAGCTAGAATCGAAATTTTTCTCAGTGTATCTAAAACATTTTGTGATGTACACGTGACATATAATTCGTTGCATTTGTCAACGAATCATTATCTAAAATTTTCCAGCTAGAATCGAAATTTTTCTCAGTGTATCTAAAATATTTTGTGATGTACACGTAACATATAATTTGTTGCATTTGTCAACGAATCATTATCTCAAATTTTCCATCCTGTTTCACTGATGTCAGAGTGCAAGGGTGCATTATAGTGGCATTGAGTACGTTGCATCGCGCGGCAGGCGACGCGGTCTCTCCGGCGCGAGCAAGCAGGTCGGATTAACGTCTTCATTCCGGGGGAAACCCCTCTCGCTCGCACGGCATCTCGCTGGTAATCGATCGGTTATGGTAATCCGAGCGAGCGTCGAGCGCGCGATCGTTAAAAAAGTCGCGCGCGCGCGCGTGCGCGTGATTGCGGTACTCTCTCGATGCGACTTGCTCACGTGCGTGCTTGCTTACTCGCAGCGATAAGCAAACGATGCGTGCAGTTCGATTAACGCAACAACGGATGCGATCGTCCGTCGTGCGTGAAAAGAGAGGAACTCCCGGAAGAAACGCCCACGCGATCTACCTGCGATCGCCTCCGCGATTCCTGGGATATCTCTCCCGACGTATTTGCGGAACTACGAACGCGCTTTGTTCGCGCTTCAAGCTAGACGGTGACGAGGCTGTCGTAGCGTTTGAGTAATTAGAAAGTCGCTGACAAATCTATTAGCGCACACATAAACATATACCACTATCAAATGCACGATCTTCCTTATTTACGAGATTGTTAGATAACAATACACCCGGACTTAATCCTGGCCATTCTTATTATTTTTTAACATAAATATTGAAACTTTCTATGTATAATATGTTTGTATATATTCAATACATATATAGAGGATGCTTGAAAGTTTTCCATATCTTGTATAAATATAGATTAAGTCAAAATAAACGCAAAATTTTTCTACCATTTTGTAAACAATCGCGTAAAATTTTGAATTATTAATTAAAGAAAATTGGTCATTGATATGATAGATAGGTTATAATAATGATTATTTTTCCATGAAAAATTCAGGTTTTAAAATATTTTTTATTTGAAAAATATTTTACACATTAATACAAAAGTGTATATGTTATCAACATACACCGAATAAATATCTTTTATTTAGATCTTTTTTCTCTCAGTGTATATTTTAAAAGTTTAAATATATATATTTAAAAATCAAGACAATAATTATTAATATATATATTTAAAAATCAAGACAATAATATATTTATTTAAAAATTAAGATAATAAGAATATCCAGGATTCAGTTCGAACATTGATACTTCTAAACTGCTCTGATTTTTCATCCCAACAGGTTGCTTTTTTTTCTGATAATAGCAATGTGACACGTTACCATTTGTTACAGTATTTTATTATTGTGCGTATACAAATTCTCTTGTAATTTGGCGCGAGACATGCTTAGTACAAGACTCATAAGTAGATGAGTAAGCACGGCGTATCAGAAATACGATTGATACAAATCGGTTAGAAATCGAGCTTTCAGTACACTGGCGAATCATGTCGTTACTCGGTCCATTTATCATAATCCCGGGGATTGTGTGTAATTGCGGGATTAAACGCACTGTGCATCATCAGGATGATTGAGCGATAAATAATGACGATAATAGCGGAACTCACCGTGCAAAAATTAGGGCGCGCGCTCTCTACAATCGCTGTCACTTGTAACGAAGTATCAGTCGATAGCTGCATATCGAGCTCGGCGCGAAGTTAATTACGACTTTCCCAGCGTTACGCGGCTAATGAGAAGTCGCGGAATGCCGTATTTTGGGCGACTTGTTCGAAATTCGCGACGGCCTCCGCGGGAGAAAAGAATGACGACTACACCCGTCGGCATCGGACGTTATTATCGCGTTACCGCGCAATCGGCCAGATAACGCCAGTATGAATTATCATTCACGCCTCGAGCGAGTGCCTTCGGAAGACCTTCGAGGTATTACGCGTGTATTTATGAACTGGCAACGCGATGCGTTTGCGTCGTAACCGCACACACGTCTCGTAAAACCCTATACACCTCTATCCAGTAGGAGACTGATGTACTCGCGTATTAAGCTCTCTTAACTTCCACTTACAATGCCACTACATCAAGTGCACGCAGTCCGTTAATGCCAAGTAATAAATCGCATTTTTCATTCATTTTAAATGGCATCATTTATTCCGTAGATTCCACACGTGTGCGAGATATAATATTAGAAGATCCTAAGAACGGATTAGATCCAATAAATTTTTAAGAAATTTAATTTAATAATAATTAAATTAGGAAAATATTTACTTTAATAAACTAAAGTTCACGAAACTTTAAAGTATTTATTATGATTATGAGAAATATATGAGGAAGATCCCCGAAAGATTACATGCGAGATATTTTTCCATTTCTAAATCTTCTTCTCTCACGTACACTAAAAGAGAAAAAATATCTAAAAAGCATTTTTTCCAAAAAACATTTATTCGGTGAATATTCTGAGAGAGATTATACGATAAAAAATTAAACGGATATTTCCGATCAAAATACCGATAAATTTTTGTATCAGGAAATCCGATAAAAGATATCGGTTCATAATTTTTTAGTCGACTTATTTGATGAAATACCATTATAATTGAAAGTATTTAATCTAATATCCTGTATTTAAGTATGTAAGTATTTAATCGGATATCCTGATTAGATATAAAAATTGATCGGAATTTGATCCGAAATATTCGTTTGTTAATTTTTTATCGGATTATTTCTCTCAGTATACTATATATTCGATAGCTATTTGCTTAAGTTCTTAAATAAATTCTTTTATTTAAATATAATAAACAATTGCTTTCATAAGAAGTTAAGATCTTACGAAAATGTATATTTTTTCATTCGATATATTTTGTATTAATATAAGTAAATATGGCGTACGCGCGCGCACATACACACGCATACATACATTAGTGTATCTATAATATTTTTTAAATTTCTTAGATATTTTTTTTCTCTCAGTGTAGAGTACGTTAAGTTTTTTCAATCTCGTGACGCATTATTCCGAGGATAACTGAGCGCGGGATCAATTCGTAATTGACTTTCACGGTCGTTAGCTGCGGAACGGGCATCCTGTGAATCCTATTACGTTCTCAAACATAGATCAGCTCGGAGCAACGCTAAAAGGCGTCGGCTGTATTTAATGATCAGAAGTATATAGCTGGGTTACGACCTCGGCGTCACGACCGCGGTAACGCGGATGAAAATGAACTGTTACTCTCGGCATTATCTATTACTTATCGGGAATTGTTTATAATGTCACTGCTGCGGTATATTTTACCCCGTAACTAAAAAGACCTTATTCAGAGATGACCTACTCTCGAGGATAGATACAGCCAAGAGGATGTCGTTTGATAATTTATACCGGGTGAGAGATTGCGATCGGCAATCGCTCATCGTGAATCGAATCATGCTCTGTAATCAACCGCGCCTGCCAACGTTTACCGCAACGTTGAAATAATTCATGTTGCGCCATCGTATCCGTTCGCGACATTAACTAAGACATGTATCAAAGTGTGACACGCACGAGTCGGTTACGAGGCATCGCGACTTTTACGCCCTTTCTCAGACATATATTTTATACCCACGATAATATCATATTACATATGAAGTAATGAGTAAAATTGCGATATATTTAAAGTCTTAAACGTCTTTCCTTCAACAAGAAGTGGATCTAATAAATTCTCCGTGTCAACTTTCAAACACATATACATGACACGCGGAACACTATACAAAAATACAAGTAAAAAGAATACACGGGAAGAGTTCTTTTCACACAAATTCTTTTCCATTTTATAATGTTTCTGGTGGTGCAGGAACAGACTGTCGTCAGTAGGTCCATCTTGCTAAGAAACAAGATTTTCAATAGCACATTTTATTTGCTAAAATAAAAGCATGTATAAAATGAAAGAATAATTAACTGCAGAGTATCGATCTATTCCTCGGTTAAAAAATTCTATAGTAATTTTTACTATAAAATTTTTTCTGTGTAGGAGGAAAATTAGGGAGACTTTCACAATCAAAGAAAAATATGGTGATGGAATTATATGTGACAATGCAATATTACAATTTTACATTATAATGTTTATATATATATATAAACATGGTGATGGAAATATATGTCAAATAAGATGTTATGTACATATATATATTGAATATACAATTCTACTTTATAATGTTTACACACACACATACACACACATATATGTACATAACACCTTGTTTGACATATATTTCCATCATCATGTTTTTCTCCGATTGTAAGACTCTTCCCATATATAATTATAGTTCGTTATATAAGTTGTTAAAGTTATCTCCACGTTTGTCAGAAGAGAAGACCTACTGATACGGAGGAATTTCTTAGGAATATTCAATCCTTAAGAACTGAATAGGATATTCAATCTGAAATAATACTCAAGGAATCTTACCTAAGTTCCAAGTTCGAATCATTATTAACAGCATTCGAAGCACTAAATCGTCCCGATTGTCTGTTGCAGGATACACGGACGTCGCCGGGAGACCGGTCATCGAGTTCGAGGATAACGCGTCCACGAGGGAAGCCCTCTCCGTACGAGAGACATCGTCTTTTCTGCTCTACCTCGCCCGTCTACCCAGGTAGGTTTCCCCGTTTCACCTCTCTCGCGTCCGTCCGCACAATACATCAACTTCGGCGGCGAGAACGTCGAAATCACCGTACGATCGCGCAAAGTCGCACGCGTCCGGCGCGATGCCGATAAATCAGCGAGATTATCGCACGATCGGTCGCTCGTGCGGGGTGCGACGCCCGTAATTTATGAATTCGATTAGCGGGCGACGCACGGCCGCGATAATTTTTTGCGGACCGTTCCTCCTCCTTCTCTCCCTTTGCTTCTTCCTCTTCTTTTTGCTCGTAGAAAATTCACACTTTACGCCGCGGCGCGCTGGCGCGAGACACCCATTTATTACGCCGGCATCTGTACTCCTCAACGAGGCTGTGTTGTAGCCGATAATAACTGAAATCAACCGAGTCCGAATTGGCAATTTATTAATCCCGCCCGGGAGAGGAAGGAGCGCGCGAGCTTTCCGCTAAATAAACGTGATCGACGCCGGTGTCGGTAATAATTATAATTTTCCGCCGTCATGAAGTCGCGGCCACGCCCACTATAATCGGCCGATGGGGAGCAAAATCGCGGCTTACCGTTCTCTTCTTCCTGGCCTATCTCCGCCTACAAGCTCTCTAACGAAGCTTCCTCTCGTTCGTAAGCTATTCAATTAACGCGCTTACGACGTACCTGCCGATATAAACGCTTTCTTTCCCGCGCGGCGCCGATTAAACACCGTGAGAACCGAATCGGAGCAAATCAACACCGTGCGCAATTACCGGAAAATCTCCGCGCGAATCCATCCGCTCAGCAGGAAACTCATTAAGAGTTATTGCCCGCTAATCGTCGATTAATTAAATCATCGAAAGAGTCAGATTAGCCGACTGATAAAAACGACAGATATTATGTAACAGATATTGAAAGACCCCTGTATTTTCAAAGTGTACATAATGTATGCTTTGGGAGGTGGGGAAAAATTATTAAGAAATCTCGGTTTGACATAACTGTACGTTACACAGAGAGAATTTTATAGTAAAAATAGGATTTGTAATCGAGACACAGATCGACATTCTGCAGTAATTTAATATTGTACTCACGTATATTTTAGGAACTGAAATGTGCAATTGAAACACTTGCTATGTTTCTAGCGAAATATACTACGCTGAGAGAAATTATCCGATAAAAAATTAACAAACGGATATTTCCGATCAAATTCCGATCAATTTTTATATCCAATCAGGATATCCGATTAAATTTCATTGGATGCTTCCAATTATAGGTTTGTAATTCCAGTTTGTGCAGATCCTGAAAAAGATGAGAATATTCGGTCGAGTTGTTCGGATTAACTAAGTATTTAACAAAGCCTATTCTCTTATGTATCATTATTAAGCGATTTTTCAATTAGGAACAAGATCAAAATATGAAATAGCGGTGTCCTCACTACCTATCTTAGCACCTACTTTGAGAGGATCTTGAAGCCGCTATTCAACTCCCTCGATGCATTTCTCTTCGCGGGAGAAATGTCGAGAAAATTGCGCGCTCGGGTGCATTCGATGTATAGATCGCATTTCATCAGATAAACTGATGAAAAAATTATGGACCGATATTTCTCATTGAATGTTGATCGGATACAAAAATTCATTGGTATTTTGATCGGAAATATCTCTTTGTTAATTTTTTATCAGATAATTTTTCTCAGTGTATTCTTCTTAGCAAGATAAACCTTACTGACAATTTATTTTTTCTTAAACTACTAAAAACATAGTATAATTGAAAAGAATTTATAATAAAGACTATATCTGTGTATAGATCAAGACAATCTTGGTGCGTACATTTATACAGTACAACATTACAAATTTAGTAATGTATATCCTGCGTTCTGTTCTGATTAGTTACATTGACAGAAAAAATATCTAAGAATTAAAAATTATCTATTCGGTGGATACTAATAATATTTATTATACTGACATAAAATATTTTTCAAATAAAAAAATATTTTCTTAAAATTTGAGCTTTTTATGAAAGCAATTATTTATTCTGTTTAAAAATAAAAGAATTTGGATTTAAGTAGATATAGTACATACCTCTGCCAAATAAATATTTTTTTTTAGATATTTTTTCCCTCACAGTGCAGATACTCGTGTTCTGTGATTGTTGATATGTTTGATTCTTATGTGATAAGACTGATTCAATAATAAGATTGATTCATTGTATGTATTTTATATGAATCAGCCATTTTCGATTTGTTTCTCGTTGAATTTTACTCGTTTTACATACATTTGCAAATTGCAATATCCGAATTGAAATTTAGGTTAAGCCTGCGAATATCGTCGAACTTATAGGATACCCGAGTCGAAATTTTGATTCTACATTGACTCTGCAAATTCTGTCAAATTTGAAGCGTCAATGAAGAATCTCGAGATATATAAGCTGTGGACCTACCTTGATGCTGCGAATGATCGCTTGTTGCCGTTTTCTTTATGCTGAAAAAGCTCGAAGACTCTCGTTCAGGAATATTTTAAATTCGTTTTTATTTTCAATTATTCTAATTATTTTTTTTGTTATTTAATATTTGTTCATTTTAGTGTATTTTTATAGAATTTCATCCATTGACTGCCGGCCGGATAATTTTGAGCAAAATGACAAAGTCTACACAGAGAAAAGTGCATACTGCGTTCAAATATTATTTATTTCAAGTGCTTCATAAATTTACATAAATTTACATAAATCTATCATAAGTATATCATAAGTATAAAATTTGTTCAAAATACGTTCTGGATCCTAATAAGTTTAGTATTTCAATCGGGAATATGAAATTAGAACAAGAATTTGGTTTGCTTGTTACGTCGAATCAACTTTTGCTTTGTTAAAATTTTATAATATATATTATATAATATATATTATACAATTTTATAATATATTCTCGTAAAGAGAGAATATATTTTTCTTTTGAATACATAATAGAGTTTTTCTCAAATTTGCAATGAGTATATTTTAGGACTATTATAAAAAATATCCTTTGTTGAAGGTAAACATTATTTAAAAGAAATAAAGAAAATAAACTGACACTTTTCTCAGCAGCAGAATGATATTTTTCTCTGTGTAGAAACGCACAACGCGATCAAAGTCGTCCTTTTGTTTCCCCGGCGAAAATGTGAGAAAAATTAAACGCCCGAACGCATCGAATGCACCAAACCGACACTCGTTCATCGCCATTTGCAACGGCCGAAAAACCTCAAAGAATGCACAACGTTTGTGCAAATCCCGAAAAAGATGAGAATATTCGGTCGTCGAGTCGTTCGGATCAACTAATTATTTAGTAAAGCTCGTTTTCTTATTATTAAGCGATTTTTCAATTAAGAACGAGATCAAAATATGAAATACAAGCGGCGTCCTCATCACTTACCTTAGCACCTACCTTGAAAGGATTTTAGGGCCGCTATTCAACTCCCTCGATGCATTTCTCTTCACGAGAAAAATGTCGAAAAAATTGCGCGCACGGGTGCATTCGATGCATAAAAACTACTTGCCAGTTGCCAAACATGATAGTGTCTGACCGGAAGATCTCTAAAAAATACATTCTTTGTACATTCTTGAACCTAGTCGATACGTTATGGATATCTATAATCAACAAGAGCGAGACGTGGCATTATTATATACATTAATATATTAACTGGCAAATATATATGTGATTGGCAACTGGCTATATTCGAACAAAATTTATACAGATAAGTATATATTAAATTTATACAGATAAGCATATATTAAATTATTTAACAAGGATTGGTATGCTGGTGAATGGGTAAAAGAATAAGACTTAATCTCATCATTTCCTAATTTTTTTTTTTTTTTTTTTTTTTTTTTTTTTAACCCTTTAAGTGGTGTGACTAGAAAATTTTCATGAAAAAATATTAAATTCCTCTTTTGATTTACTTAAAAATAATTGTATATTTTGAATTCATAGGAAGTATAAATTAGATATACTTTGTATTCTATCTTTCAAAATTCCTCAAAGAAAATAACAGTAAAGAGAAAAGAAATGTAGATACGTTTATATGAAAAAGAAAAACTCGCCCTGGGGGAAATCGCGTAGTTATTTTGAATCACCACTGAAGAGGTTAATGGAAGTTTTGATGAGATTTGATCAGCTCTTAAAAGAGCTGATATAAAGCTGTAAAAGAAAAGATAACAGTTATGTGTCCAATAATGCTGTTAACTAATAAAGATTTAAATTCCGCAAAAGATTAAGTAGACATTGAGAAAAAGCGTTAGAAAATGTAAACAAGATCGCAAACCAAAGAGCATTGACAGATGTAAACAAAATTGCAATCGTGAAGGAGCATTATTAGACAGAAAAAATCAACACTTGTAAAATTTATATTATATTCTAAGGCCGACATTCATAGAGTTGTAAATTATTTAAGATCTTTAATTGAGAACATAATTAATTACAAATTTGTATTCATGGACTATTACACATGGATATTTGGACACCAATGTTTCTGGTACGAAATAATATAAAAAATACGGATATAAGTTGATGATTAATAAAAAAATCAATGAAGTTATAATTATATGTCAGATGATAATAAGCTATGAATGCCAGCCTAAATTTCGACTCGGGTATTTTTTACTTTCGGCGCGTTAAACGGAACGGAAACGTAATAAATATAGCACACCTGGGAAATATATGATGCGTCGCTATCCTCGTCGTCCTTGTGTCCTGCGTTCTCCTCCTCTGTTCCAGCTTCTCGACCAAATATCCTGGCTGTTCCATTGTGGTACTGGACACTGGACACTGACACTCGCGTAGATACGATTAAACCGAAGATACACGTGTTAAATAACGCGATGCCAACGAGAGACTAATTATGCGATTCGAAAGAAGTGACGAAATAGTTTAATTACTCGACCCCGACACACGCGTGATATGCTCGTGTCGGTCGCCGACCCGGGACTGACTGGGAAAATTCGGAAAAGTCCGCGAGGCACGCAAGTAAACTTAACCGCCTCGGAGGTCGCAATGTTTTGATTGCGCGCGGGAACAATAGTTGACGCACGTAGTCCGTGCGTATCGCTCGCCGGTTGGGAACTGAATGGAAAGAGTCGGAAAGGTCACGTGACCGCCTTGAAGGATCTGGATGTTTTGGTTATACAGAAACACAACAGATAACGTATCGAACACGTGATATACGCATCGCTCGTTGAACCGTCCCTTAAAAAAAACTTATCTCGTAAATTAGTTAATATTCAATTATCTCAGTATTTTATTCGTATTTAATTTTTGTTCTTTATTTTAGGGAGAAACAAAAATGTGTCGCACATTTTTATCCGCAACCGAATATATTACTCCCTAAAATAAAGAACAAAAATTAAATATGAATAAAATACTGAGATAATTGAATATTAACTAATCTACGAAATAAGTTTTTTTAAGGTTCAAAATAACATTAATCATTTGTGGTAAACAAGATAAAACAATCGCATGTATAGTGTTGTATCTCGAGATTCTCTATTAGTTCTTCAACGGCATTTGCAGAATTAACGTGGAATCAAAATTTTGACTTGGGTAGTCGTCATGATGCATCACTTTTACACATAATTGGTTTTGAACTTAGTATTTTAGAATTTCGTCCAATATTTGTTTTTCGTGTTTGGACCGCGTTTTTTTAACCGTTTGATTCCAACGTTTCATGAACATTTCAATTCACTTCTTGAAGGAGCAGGGTGATCTGCTGAAGAAGTAAACTGAAATGTTCACGAAATGTGAGAATCAAACACAAGGAAGGCGCGCTCTAAATCTGGAAAACAAGCAAAGTATTAATGTTGAACATTGAGTAAGATCCACTTGATACTGCAAACGCTTGATACTTCGAAGCGCCATATAGACTAATCATAATCTTTTTGCATGCTTCAAAGCATTTGCGGCCCTATCGTTAGAACAAGGAATATAAAGACGACATTAGTACTTTCGAGACTTGCAGCAGGGACCGTATTCTCGACATACATTCGAACACGCCCTTTTTATTTCAAGTTCCAATCTTTTTTTGTACAAGTGTTTCATATAAGATCGTTTAATTTGAGAATTAGAAAGGCGTATCAAATTTAGCGTTCGAATACGCGTCGAGAATACGGCCTCAGATTTTAAATTTCGATTGTGATAATAATCTCGAGAATGTTAACGATCTAAAATTATTCATCACGTGGAACATTTACACGCTTTTGCCGAAGGAATTCGGGAAGCCCAAAGGCTTCCTGAATGTACGTCCTATCGCCTTTCGAGCGCAGGTATTTCCTCGTCACCGGCTCGGCGCCTTTTGATGCGATTACGACTCTCGTCGACGCGCTGATCGCGATGTCATCGTGCTGTCTCTCTGCCGGCGCTCTCGACCGCGTTCGCATACTCTCCCTAGCTCATAAAACACATCACGCGCAATAGCTACGGCGGTATCGGTCATCACGTGGCTTTATGGTTCCCCATGCAACCGGGAACCAGCGCGCCGTGCTGTGCGTCCCATACATGACTTCGTCCGGGTAAAAGAGCGGGCGAACAGTATCGTTGGAAAGAACGAGAAAGAGAGAGAGAGAGAGAGAAAGAGAGAGAGAGAGAGAGAGAGAGAGAGAGAGAGAGAGAGAGAGAGAGAGAG